TATAATTTTTTTTTTATTTTTTTCATTATTTACCATTTTTTTTTCTCATCTCTCTCTCTTCCCGCTGACCCGTTGCCCCGCTGATCCTGGCCGCTACGTGCAGCGACAGAGTTCTCGTCGTCGCGCGCAGCGGCAACCCCCTCCTTGTCACTGTGCGTAGTGGCGACGGGTGCCCTCCTTGTCGTCGCATGCAGCGGCAACAGGCCCTTTTCAGTCGCCGCTACTCGTTGCAGCATGTAGCGACGTCCCCTTTCCTGTCTCCGCGAGAGAGAGATAGATGCCCGCAGCTGGTCCGAAGGTGGGTTTGGGAGGAGCGGGAGAGGGAATCTGGATGGGGAGAGGGGGTAGTCTAGAGAGGGCAAATTGGGATTAAGAAAAATATGTGAGGGCAAAAATGTAAAAAATAATTATAAAATAACTTTTATTTAATCACAAATTTGCCATTGAAACCATAAGTAGCTTACCCCCAATTTTCAAAACTTCTATTTTTTTCTGCCTAATTTAAGTAAATAGAAGCCAAAAACAGCAATTCCAAACACCCCACAAGTGCTTTTGTACCTTGGGAAGTGCATAAGCACTTCCCATAAGCGGTTGCAAACACCGCCTTAGGGGGTATTTGCAAATGCTTGTAGAGAATTAGAAGTAGGTGCTTTAAACAGAAATAGGTAAATCAGATTACAATCAGAAAAGTAAAGGGTGTTTGTAAAATATAAAAAAAAGTGCTTGAAATTAGTAAAAGAGTGTTTAGGAGATAATTTTGTAAAGTGATTGTAGAGAAACTTTTTATAACAAAAAGACTATTTTACCCTTTATTATATAATTTTTTATTTTTTCATCACCTTTTTCTCATCTCTCTCGCACTCCCTCTCTAAGATCAGCCAGTAGCGGCACCATCACCGTTACATGTGGTGACGTGCGTTGCCTAAGGTTCATAGGTACCGGTGGCCTGAGATCAGCCACTTGGGGCCATGCATAGTGGTGATGTGCGTTGCCTGAGGCCGTGCGTATTGGCAACTTGAGATTGGTCGCCTGTGGTAGTTGGGCAGCGACGGCTTGCGTTGCCTGAGGTTGTGCACATTGGCAGCCTGTGGTCATTGGGCAGCGGCGACTTGCGTTGCTGAGGCTGTGCGCATTGGCAGCCTAAGATCAGGTGCTTGTGGCGTTGTGCAACGGTGATGTGAGTCGCTTGAGGCTGTGCACAACGGTACCATCGTTGCTGCGTGTGGCGGCTTGTTTCACTTGAGACGGCAATGGTGGAGAGGAAGGAAGGAATAGAAAGGGGTGAGGGTGGAAATAATGAAAAAACTTGTGGATAAAAGGATCCAAACAAATTTAAAACAGTTTCGATTTAATTACAAAAATGCCATTGAAAGCTAGAAGTATCTCCTCCCGGCTCAAGCTTTTTTACTATTTGTAGCTTGATTTAAGTGAAGCAAAAGCTAAAAATAGTTTTAAAAATACCTAAAAATCACTTTTCAATTATTAAAAAACTAAAAAGTTATAAGCAAAAGTATTTGCAAACACCCTTTTAATAATATGTCCACACTCAGTGACATTTTACTTCCACTCTATGTTTAGTTAGAGAGATATGATATAATTAAATAGGATAAAATTGATAATTTTATTTGAATTGCATAATATTCATTTGATATTGGGTAACACTTAGCCAAAGAATAGAAGATAGCATGATAAAAAATATTTTACACAAAATACCATTGTGAATACTATTCGTCATCCTCATTTTTGTAAGCTTAGGATTTGGCCCTATTTGATTTTTTATTGTATGAACAGTAAAGGCATTTTAGTTAAAAAAAAAAAAAAGTAGGAAATTTAATAAGGGTTGATAAAACTATTACATTCCTCCCCCTATAACACTATTCTTCTTACGCTTACTTATCTATTCTCATAGTTTTTTTTCTGGTTTTATTATATGCGTACCAAACATGTGACAAAACATAATAAGTTTATTTTATCATGTCATATCACCTTAACTGAATGTATCTTGTAGAATTAGTAAAGATACACACACACACATATATATATATATATTGCGCAAAACAAAAAATACCCTATAATAGTCACAACGGATTGTTTTTTTTTATACTATTTAATATTCGCTAATATATAAAAACATCATCCATAAAATGTTGACAATACTATATTTTTTTGTTCAATATAACCGCATGAATTGAAAAATTAATTAAAGATGGGTATATATAGGAAAAAATTTTAGTATTTTTAAGTGACATTCTGCACATAATTAAAAAAAAAATTGTATATAGTTGGCATCCAAAATATCAACCCCAATGCATTAATTTTTTTTCACGTTATACTTTTTTCTTGGGGTATAGCATGTGTGAAGTTTATTCTTAATATTATATCATATTTTTCATAAAACAATTTCTGCATGTCTCTTTCTTTTAGTACAACGACATCTTTTGTAACCATGTTCACAAACCTAATTTTCCACAGAATCTAGAAGCTCCTTCCAGCACAGCGAACAAAGTATCTTCTTCGTAAATGTGGTCCAAGTCAGACAAAACTTTAATAATTCGTAGAGGCTGAAAGTCAAACACATGGTCTGAATTTTTCTGAATTGCAAATTGATGAATTATAAAATAATAAATAAATTTAAACTAATAAGAATAAATCAGATCCTATAAAGTATGTCCACGAAAAAGTACCTTGAAAAAGAAAGGAAAAACGTGAGAATCAACCTGGGGGGCAAAGTTTTGTATATTTAATTTTCTTTGGAAAAAGAAAGGAAGCGCGTGTTCCCACGAGGCCTCCTGTCCTTCAAGATCCGGGCCTCTTGATGTGAATCGTTGGTTGGCATCTATCGTCATTACCCTTAATTACCGTCAAGGCTTTCAGATAGAATTCCATGCCAGGAAGAACTGATCCTGCAGACGCCCGAAGTAACGGCCCTGAAGTCTCGATTGTTGCCGGTTTTCTGATTTCATGCAGCAGCCACTGATGGAACCAGGTGAGCTCAAATTCCCCACTTATACACGTGTTTATATGTGCGTTACATATATATCTAATCCATACACATGAGTCTACGTCTTTTCTGTGAATTTCTTTGCACGGGTTTATGCAAAATTCTCAGTTCTGACAAACTTATATGTGGGTATTTGCTGGTGGTTCTTGGCAGTGGAACTCAAAATTTTGGAGTTATCGTCTTCGTGTATATATTTGTATACACTCGGATGCATTCCTATGATTCTATGTCTTTCCTATGAATTCTATAAGTTTGTTCAATATAATTCTGATAAACTTAATATGTGGGTATTTCCTGGTGCGTCTTGGTAGATGAAATTTTGCCAAAATTTGGCGTAATTTTGTTGTGTTATACTGGGTTTTAGTTTTCGGAACAAACCCTGTAGAGGATTTGTGTTCTGTGCGACTATGACAAACATGTATTCTCGACGAAACCTTAAAATAGTGCTCAGATATGTGTTTGTGAAATTGAACCTTTTGGATTGGGGAAATTAGGAACTCAATATATATATATATATATATATATGTTAGGGAGGCAACTTGTAGTAAGACCTAGTGAAGAGAGTGAAGTATGACGACAAGGTTGGCCTCTGGAGCCTTGATAAAATTAGGGGTGAACACTCCGGTGCCCTCCCCAAAGGGAGGGCAACGGTACAATCCCCCCCTTCTGTGAGGGGGGGGGGGGGGGAGGGGGGACTTGGCAGTGGAGCCCCCTCACAATGCAGGGGGCCCGGCAGTGGGGCCCACCCCTTGTGAGAGGGGTGGGCACCGGTGCCCGTAGAATTTGCCTAAAATTAGTCTGCATTTTTAAGAGAAGCTGAAAATGGTACAGCAAAATAGAGAGCAATTTTGGGAGTATAGAAATATTCTGTTGATTTTTCTGTTTTTCTAAATTATGTATGTAGGGATAGCAGACACAGAAAAAATTAAGAAGGAATTTTTTAGCTTCTGCTGAATATTGTCTTTGTGGAATAGTGTCTCTGATCTACTGAGAATTCTTGTTAATATGTTAAACAAATATTACGTATTGGCAAAGCCATATCCAGTTCCATTATATGTGTCCTCTCACAATGATCACCTTCTCATCTCCCAATTTTGAGTTCAATGTCTTGATCCATTGAAAAACAGAATTGGCAATGGATTATATAAATCAAGAGCTGTTCCCCAGTTTAATTTTTGAATCAAAGGAAGGCTTCTGGCAGTATTTGGTACTGGTAGTATACTAAGTAATCATCATATCGTCAATTCTGGCCAATATGTTCTTGTACTTACCTGGGAACCTTCTATATATGCTATTTTCAGTATCTATTTCTGCTTGCCTCCCAATTGAGTCAGTTTGCCCTCCATTGTCTCACCTTTATAGTAGAGGCAATTCAACTTCTCCCTAGAAAAAGATGGACCAATATACAATATGTTTTACAATCTGATTGAAATGACCCTCATCTTTCTACACTAGACAAAGCATTAAAGAACTGTTTGCAGTTGAATTTTACAGTAATTTTTAGCATCTTTTTCGCATTGCATAATTTGTAACTATGCTTGAAGCTCTCTATATTTGATTCTGAGCACATAAGGCCTGGTTCTATCACTTCTGATCGGTATTTGATTGTTTTGCCGTGATTATTGGCATATTGTAGAGGAAGACGTGGAGATGGCACCATCAAGACCATCTGTTTCTGTGCTGAAGAAAATTTCTGCCTATAAAGCCTTGGCTTGGGAAGCATACAAAAGCAAGCCAATCTCACATTGGATTCTGCTAGCCTTGAGCAGTGCAGGAATGCTCGTGGCATTCCTGCTTCTAGTATTCTGTCTCGTGTCTATTACTCTGATGGAGGCCAGAGCAAGTGGATCATTTCTTGGGTGGCCGTGGCAGGGTGGCCTCTCACTGTTCTGTTCTTAATTCCTACGTACTTCTTTCGCAAAACTTTTCCCACTCCTCTCACATTCAAACTCACTCTTTCTTATGCAGTGTTGGGTTTCTTAAGTGCTGCCGATAACTCATGTATGCATATGCTTATGCTTACCTCCCTGCATCAACTGCTTCCCTTCTAGCATCGTCATCCCTAGCCTTTTCTGCCTTATTTGGTTATCTTATTGTGAAGAACAAAATAAATGCTTCTACTATAAATGCTGTCGTGATCATTACTGCTGCTATGGCCATCATTGGTTTGGATTCTGACTCTGACCGATACGGGAATATTACTGACAGCCAATACATCATGGGTTTTATATGGGATATTCTGGGATCTGCTCTGCATGGCCTCATTTTTGCTCTTTCAGAGCTTGTTTTTGTGAAACTGCTAGGCAGGAGGTCCTTCCATGTTGTCTTGGAGCAACAAGTGATGGTTTCTCTATTTGCTTTTGCGTTCACAACAATCGGCCTTATTGTGAATAATGATTTCCAAGGAATGGTTTCCGAGGCCAAAAGTTTCAATGGTGGTAAGGTTTCATATTGCATGGTTCTTATCTGGGGTGCTGTAACATTTCAACTGGGGGTCCTGGGGGGGACTGCTGTTCTTTATTTGTCTTCCACTGTGCTGGCTGGTGTGCTTAATGCCGTGAGGGTGCCTATCACAAGCATTGCTGCGGTTATATTGTTACATGACCCAATGAGTGGTTTCAAATCCTTTCCTGGTTATCACCTTCTGGGGATTTGCCTGCTATATCTATGGTACTTCTTCTCCGAGTAAAAATTCTTCGTTGTGATCTATATCCGAGTGTTTTTGGTAAAACAGTTAATTTTCTGTAACAGAGAATAAGCCATGTTATTGTATTTCAGTTGTCTGTTGTAATGCCATTTATGGAAGAATATTGATGGTTACGAGGCTGATACATTCTAATGTAAGAACATGGGTACTTAATATTTTCAAAATGTAAAGATATCAGTGCCTTCAATTACTTCGTGGAGTGACTGTGTTGTATTAAAAAACAATTGACCAGATTAGAATTACCCGGAATAGGGAAGCTCACAGCCTTGGAATAAACGACCATAGTTTGAGTTTTCTAAATATTTTCAGATACTTCCTTTCTGTTACAGAGAAGGGTTGACAGTTAAATAGTCAGCACTGCAATTAGTTGAACGAACTGAACAGGAAGACACAGAATTTTGAAGTTTCTAGATGTCATTGCTTCCATCTCACGTAAACCACTGATAACAAAAGAAGTTCAGAAAAGGATTCCAGTTCATTTCTTCTATGGCCTAGATGATATAAAAAGTAACCAGAAGAGTCATTCCTCCGCAGTGCAGCCTACGACTGCCACTGAATCACGAACTAATTGTAGATATGATCATCATTTGTGATAACCTTACAACCGAAAAGCATTGGTGCCTACTCACCATTAGTTCTGTAAGGGATGATTGGGAGTTTAAATGAATATGCTGAAAACCAGAAACCTCAGATTGGAGTAGTAGTTCGCTCCTGAAAAATTTCCAAGAACTGCATCTGAAAATGAAGTAAACTGACTACCAAATATCTAATATCAATAAGTTGGGCCAGCTGAATATTGAAGACGTGCAAAATAGCCACAATAATTGATGCCCAGATGCCTCGTGGTGGTATTAACACAAGTAGTTCAAGAAACTTTAAAGAGAGCACAACACTGACTCATAATCTGGTCAATACCAAATCTCAGGTGTGGGAATGATGCTAGATTAGCTAATCATGACACCTGGTTTGAGGGAAACATACAACGATGGAAAACAAAAAAACGTCACAGCAACTAGCTTAAAGAAAATGTGTAAAATCAAAAGAAGAACTCACAAAAGAAATAATAATAATACAATATGCCATAGAGATCACGTTATGTAAATTTTGTCCTGCAACAGAGAGAAAGGTTTCTCCACTGGGATTCTGGAGGCACGTTGCCTCCCTTTTTCTCCAGCCAGAACCCTGAAAACAAGTATAATTACATTGCAGTAGATCAATATCAATATAAAACTCTTACACACCCATATATAGTCCATAAATTCCCTGTTAGAACATAATAGCTGTTATTCCTGTAACCCTGCTAATGCTACAAAGCCACATTTAATTTTTAGGACCAATGTCCTTGAGGGCACAGATCTGCTCTTCCCCCATTGCAGACATGACAGTCACCACAAGGTCCTTCCCTTCAGCAAAACCATCCTTGATCTACAGAAGACAAACAAAAACCCAAACTCAGTTTATTTTTTCCCTTTTTGTGTGAAGATTCCAAAATTTAATGGATCAAGATAACTAAGTTAAGGAGGGACTAAGGGATTTTGGTTTTAATTAAATACCTGGGAAAGCAGATTCTCATCAGTGGGAAGCCTCAGATCATCCTTAGTGTTCCCATTTTCAGTCAAGAGACTCACCTAAAAGGAAATAAGTAGACAACCATAGAAAAGTGCAAAACCAGAAGATTCAAACATAGCCAATTTTAATAAGGTAGTCTAAGATGCCACAATGCTTGTAAACCAAAGCTCAGACCACAAATCGTTAAACTCACATAACCTAGCATGCACCCGAAAAGTTCAGTATTTTGGCAGTCACATCATAAAATTTCAGGCAAGTTGTCAAACCCCCTTCAAAGAAAAGAGATCCCCTAGAATAAAGAATGATGCAGGCCTTCCAATCAAACATCATTTACAGGATTTCTACTTGTAGGTTTTTTTAGTTTTCATTTTTTCTAAAGAAATAATCAAAATCAATTCTCTATCATATGGACAGTGTCTTAAATGTTTTAATCATAAAAGAAAAACTTACAAAACCATCTTCTGAGATATCAATCAGCTGATAGTCAGTACGATTAACATGGGGAACCTGAGAAAAAAGACAAAAAAATTGAAATACACAATCAGACAGTCAAATTATTTTGAACTGAACAGCAATAAACTTAATATAGAATTCCATAGTTAAGTGCTCCATTGCCTGTTCAACTAACTAGAAGATAGCTGCAATTAAACACTACCATAAAACTAATAAAAAAGCAGACTTACATCACAGTTATGGGAGGAAGGAACAATATCTTCAAGTTTCTTGCCATTAAAGATATCAATCCCCACAAAGTGGCACTTGGCATGTCCATGCTTGCCAGTTTTTGAGGTGGAGACCTCCACAACCTGTTTGCAGAAGAAACATTAAAAGGGGTAACAAAACACTTCATTTCTTCCAGGATACAACACTGGAAAACAATAAAACACAAGGAGATGACAACACTATTTCCTTGTTAAGAAAAGTAATATTGTAAAAAAGCAGAACGGGAAATTTTTTCAAGCATATAAAACATAGCATCAACGTATGAACTGTGCACTGGTAAAAATATTGTTGGCAAGAACTTATATGACTCTTAAGCATTAGGTTAACAGCAACCTCAACAATCCGTGTATCTCTCATAAGACATTTGGCAATATAGTATCAAATAAAAGCCTATAATGACTCAAAATTGGCAGAGAAAAACAAAGCATTTTAATCGCTTAATTTGGATTTATCTATAGACTAACTTTTACCTTTTGCTTTTTGAGCAAAGACAATTCAAATTTTAATTCATTTGATTGCTTTGACTCCAAATGTTTTCAACAAAAGGAGTAGCTTATAAGTTTTTTAAGTTTTCCCAAATGGACCATTAAGATTGTTCAACAAATCCATAGGGATCCACACCTCTTCTTTATCCTTTTCACTTCACAGGCTTGGTACAAACTATTCCAGATATAACACAAGGAAATAATCATTTTTACATCCAGGTATAAAAACAGAAATATCTTACCATACCAAACACTTCTCTTTACCTGCATTGCATGGAGGATTGTGCATTATTTGGTAAAAACTCCAAACAAATCTCTGTCAACAAATTTGGTTTCATTTGATTCATTTAAGACTTGCCAAAAAAAGAGAGGGAGAAGAAGAGAAGTTTGATAGCATTGAGTTGATGTAGTTTTTAAGTCCATTAAAAGGGATTATATGTATTTTATGTAATAGGTTTTGCTAATGTTTTATAGACAAACATGTATGAAAAACTGGAAGTATAAAAAAAAAAAAAAAAAAAAAAAAAAAATTCATGTGACATAAATTATTTTGCAATTTTTTTTCCTAAAATTGTAAATATAACCAAAAGGATTAGTAAACTTTATATTATTAAAAAAATAAAAATATAGATGGAATTAATTTAATTTAATTTTAATACTTTATAATTATTAGGAATTTTAGATATATTACATCTGTAAAAGTTTGCAAATACTGTGTCAGAGTTGAACTTCTCATTTTACTGATTTCATTTATGTTCACCTGAAGTTATTTTTACCATGATTTCATTTGATTTAATTCATACTGCACCAAGACATATACTTTGGTTCAGTAATTACCAATTGCACCTACAAATTATCAAAATTCCCCAAAATTACATCAACTGCACCATGTACATTCCTAATTATAGCCTACTTTCGTGGTACTTCCCTGGGATCAAATGAGATACATAATAGAACAGGAATCAGCCAACAATAGACAGAAGCCTACCAAGATAAATTACACGAGAACTGAAGGCTCTTCCAAACAAATTCTCAAAGCATAAAACTTTCCTGTGGGAATAACTTTTAGTAAAAGACCTATCATGCTGCATGTTTGTAACTAAAAGTAACATTATACTACTCTCTGACACAAGAAAAACTTAAAATACAAAATATATTTAGCCATATGTTTTTGAATGCAACCTATGAAGCAAGAAAATATCACTTTAAATAAGGAAAAGGAAGATAGAGAAGTAAAACGGGGATGAAAACTCAGGCATGTAATTTAGATGGTAGGTATAAAGTTCCATGGACTACCGTACAATTAATAACTACTAGGACGGCAACAGCCAGCTACCTACATATCCAATGAATCATTTCCCGTGCCCACTTTTGGATATTTGATTCCTTGGTAAAGATTAATATGCCAACGCAATAGTGACACATGCTACCCACAGAAATAAGCGAACACATGCATAAAATTTTCTATTTACCTAAACTCAACTCAACTAGACTAACCTTTTTCTCAACTATATGTTGACCACGATAGACGATAGATAGAGTACTCGCGCTGAAAAAATTGGAAGTAGGCTTCTCTTTTTATTTTTAATTTCACAGGTGTTTAAAGTATTATAGGCTAATGCACAATAAGAACTTGAATCAGATCTCACAAAAAGCAAAAGCTTCAACAAACAGGAGGAAATTTGTGCAAGTGAACCAGTATATAACAGAATACGCATAGGATCAAAAAGATTCAGCCATCCTATGACAGGACTAGACAATTATCTTCTTATCCGAGTGTACGCATCTGTCACTCGAACTAATTCACTGAGCCATATTGACAACCATGTCCACTCAATTACTTAGGAAAACAACTGACACTAAATCACTAACTAAAGAAAAAAATGAACAGTAAACACATAATAACACGTCGTAGTTCTCCGAGCATACATATAAGCAAGCACATATCAGAGAAACCAGCGAGATCTGGTAAAATTGGCATGCGGAGATGAAAGACGATGATAATCCACAAAAAAAAACATAATAAATTGAAGAAAAATGACGAGCGGACGAGTCAATTGACCAAAAGATAGAGAGGGAAAGACCTTGCAGGGCCTGTTCTTGATGACTATGTAGCCGTTCTTACGGATTGTTCCAGCCTGCTGAGGGTAGGTCTTGGAGGCTCCTGCGTCGGCCTTCGACTCGAAGTGATGTTCCTCGTCCGACATCTCTCTTTCTCTCTCTTAAAATTTCTCTATAAATCTCTCTGCCTGAATCTGAGGAGGTCGAAGACGACTTTGAGGACGAAGGGCTCGCCCGTTTGGCTCACTCTTTTAGTTTTTAAGAAAATTATAAAAGACGAGGTATAAGGCTACAAGCTAAATAAATTTTAAATTTTGCTATAAATAAATTTTAAATGCTTTGTTAGAAAATGAAGAAATGGCTTTTTTAGCATAAGGAATTATTATAATTATGTTCAGAATTTTTTTTTTTAAAAAGTGAGAAGCCGAGGCAGTGTTTGGTTCTCTTGGTTATGTAAAGCGGTAAGATACCATTACTTGGTGTAATTGTAAATTGGAAAGAGGGGCAGAAAACTTCTAAGAGAATACACCCAAACATGACGTTGTTTAAATAATTTCCTGAAACAAACTAATAATCAAATTAAAAAGAAAAATAGGATATCAATCTAATTTTTAACTTATATTCTATTTTTATTAAAAAAAAATGCAAACCAAGCATATCCTAAATTTTTCAATGACAATAAGAATAGTTTAAGAACAAATTTAAAAGAAAAAATATGGATAATAAATTTAAATTTTATATTTGATTCAAATATTTAACACTGACCAGACATATTCTGTCAAAAACAAGTATAATTATTAAAAAATAAAATAATTTTAAAATTAATTACTCAAAACTATTTAATACTTGGCCCTAAATCTATCGCTTATTATTCTAAAATTTTAAACTTAACTCTTATCACTGTGTGATCTTCATAGAACAAAACTCTTATGACAAAAAAGGCTTGTTCCTTTCATAAACAAACGGCATCATGAGCGGTGGATCCTAATTTCCAAAACGCTTGTCGTCGCCAACGACTTGGTTTTAGCTCACAAGCCTGTCACTCTGTATAAACCAAAGTAACAACATCTGATAGCCACGCGTCCGAAAGATGATTTGGTTGGACTCACGTGGCATCTATCCGGTGAAAGTGGTGGAAATCTTGGTATCTGGATGGTTGATTTATGAGCAATCAATTTTGACGGTGGACGTGTAGCCTTTTGAAGATAAAAAAGGCAGGTATTGGATGCCCGTCCAATGGACGAATGTGTGCGTTGGACGAACGGTGTGGCCGGAGCAAATAGCAATCATTATGTTCAATGTATATTCTCGAATGGATATTGTCACCTTTTACTTTTCTTATTAACGCCCAGCGGATTTCAAAATGTACAGTTTGTTTTAATTTTAAGGCCTGTATCTGGGGTTGTACTTATATTGTGTGCTAATATCTCCTTAGTACTTATATTGTGCGGTGATATCTCATTAGCTTTGGTGGTTATACTCAAACGAAAATTTAATTCTTATCAGCACTCTAAAACCTTATCTTCAACTTATTTGCTCTCAAAATTTATCCAAATTCAAATAATTATTTTGTTTTAAATTTATCCAGTATAAAAGTGAAATATACATGTCTAACACATAGAAAGTACAAATATTATGCAAGTGAGAGGTCTATTTTAGAAATTATTTATTTTCTGGTAAAATAAATTTCCTAAATAGAATTCAAATTTTCTCGTGCATTTTAAGAGAGTAAATTTCTGTAATTTTTTTATTATTTATAGTAAAAATTTTATACCTAAAAAAGATTCTATAAGTTTTTTCTTAAAAAATTTTCATATAAAAATTTAGAAAATTACCAAGGCCGGTGGCTTGGTAAAATTTATTATTTAAAATGTTAATATAAAAAAATATTGAACTAAAATTTAAATAAAAAAAAAACCTTTACCCTAGAGGTAAATTGAGTTTTCAAAATACTCTCGGCCGCCTGATCCAAACCCTGCATCCCATGGAACAAATAAAGAAGACGAATTAATTATTCTGATGAAGGTCAGATGGTCTGTTGTGACATTTAATTGGGTGATCGATGGGTGACCGTGCAAGTTGTACTTTGCCATGATATGAAGTAAATAAGGTGTATACATGAGGGGGGCAGAAATTTGATATATATAAGGAAGGACAAATATATTTATTACATGTCACGTGATGTTAGATCAATCTGAATTCTAAAATTAAATTTTATTATGAAAAATAAAGATAGACTATTCATTAAAAATGGCTAATTCAAATTACAAAAATGCATAATGTTTGAAAAATACAAAATGGAGGGACTCCAAATCAATTACATACTTTAAAAACCATCCATGGAAAGAATAAGCAACGCTGAAAAGTCCAAACAAGACTCAAGATGCAAGTGTTTTTTTTTTTTTGGGTCAAAAATTGTCACGCCCAAACCCCGGGCCCGTGACTGGTACTGGGATCCACCAACCCCAGTAAGTCTTAACAAAACCAGTCGAACTCCAAAGATATAAAATATACACAAAATACAATAATATAATATCCAAAAATCACCTAGGATCCTGTCTGAGAGTACAAGGAAATTACTTTAGAATACAATAGAGAAAAGATACAAAAGAGATATGCCCGTACAGCCATCAAGTCTGCTGTCGTCGACTCCATGCTGGCACGCTAACCAAGGCGAGTACAGTCAAATGAATTTGGAATGTTTAAAACTATGAGTTGCGAAACTCAGTGAGTACGGATGATACCTAATCTATACATGTTGGGATATGTATCACACCACAAGTACAAAATCGTACATACACATATATACAGTGAGCAGTAATCAAAACACATATGTGAGGTATCAAGGTAATCAATCATCACGTCGCATCAATCATAGGGCCAGTGTACTCCCCACACACTACGGTAGAACACTGTCCGCTGGATGAGCCCCTAGCCACACAACTCATCTCATCGCTAGACCAAGGTACTCCCCGTACGCTACGGTCCACCGTCCGTCGGCTGAGCCTGCCATCCCATACACATCACGTCACTGGGCCAGAATACTCCCCGCACGCTACGGTAGCACATCGTCCGCCGACTGAACCCTTAGCCACACAACTCATCTCATCGCCGGGCCAAGGTACTCCCCGTACGCTACAGTCCACCATCCGTTGGCTGAGCCTGCCATCCGTGCACATCACATCATTGGGCCAGAATACTCCCTGCACGCTACGGTAGCACACCGTCCCCGGCTGAGCCCTTAGCCACACAACTCATCTCATCGCCGGGCCAAGGTACTCCCTGTACGCTACGGTCCACGTCTGTCGGCTGAGTCTGCCATCCCGTGCACATCACATCACTGGGCCAGCATACTCCCCGCACGCTATGGTAGCACACCGTCCACCGACTGAGCCCTTAGCCACACAACTCATCTCATCGCCGAGCCAAGGTACTCCCCGTACGCTACGATCCACCGTCCGTCGGTTGAGTTTGCCATCCCGTACACATCACATCACGAGACCTCTGTCTCATCTTCTCACGATCGGAGGAACCCACCATCTCGACGATTGGAGGAATCGCACTAGTGCATATCACATCTACGGCCTCTGTCGCCTCACATCGCGGCCCTGCCGCCTCACATCAGATGATACCATCCTCACATGTAGTCAAAAGCAGGTATATTTAACATATACAGTTCACATCTCAAAACAAGTATCACCTACTAACATAGCTCACTGACAGTTCACAAAACACATAACACATATCCCGGGTATAACGCATAATCAAAGTACAGTTTTCAAATCACATAATCATCATGTCAGAAAATTACAGTATGAAAACACAAGCATAGAGAGGGTATCATCACTCACAGTACAGACGCTAAGCCAAAACGAGAGTCCCAAGTCACCTAACCCGACTCAGTGGTCCAGGTGTGCCCCTGCCTGCGAATCTGCAATCAAGATCACACAAAACCATCACCATCGCCGAAACCGGCACAAGAAACAGGCTCAATAGCCTCAAACCGGACTCAAATCCCAAACTGGCCCCTTGGCGCACATCTCGAGGCAACCCGACCTGTCACCAAAACCTACACGACTCAGTAACACTGAACAAATCTACTTAACCACCCTCAACACTACGGAACCAGCCCCACAAACCTCGAACCACAGTGAACTGCCCTCCAAAACCCTTGAATCGGCTTAGCCCAGTCTAAAACTACCTCCAACTCAACTCAAATGGTCACGAAACCCTCAAAATCAGATTCAGAAGGTCCAAAAACCCTAGGAACCACTATGAACTGGCCAAAAATGGCTCAAACCAGCTCCGAACCGGGCTAAAAACCCTAATCCTAATAAGCAGCACGCAAACCGAGACCGGTTCACTTTGAACCGATCACCCAAAACCCACCAAACTTCACGGTTAACTAGGTTTTATCATGTTGAACCAAGAACCAGTCCAAACTCCCCAAGAACTGGCCTGAAAACCAGTGAACCGGTCACCTAAGCATCAATACACTAAACCGGCCGGTTCATCTCGAACCGGGCACCCAAAATTTCCCGAACCCACTTGGTCTGATAGCCCTCATCCCCCCGAACCCAGAACCGGTCCAACCCCCCAAATCCAAGCCAAAATGGCCACTGAACCGGCCGGTCAAAGCCCATGGCTGGTTCAATCAAACCCTTCATTCTCTCTCTCTGTTTTTTTTTTTTTTTTTTTTGCTTGAGCCGCGGCTCGGCTTAAGCCGTTAGCCCAACGGTTCGGCTCGGCTCAGCCGCAGCTCGGACCTGCCTAGGCCAGCCCACTAAACTGGGCCGGCCCACCTTGCTCGGGCCTCCCCTCGGCCCGAGCCCAACTTCTTCTTCTTTTTTTTTTTTTACCCGTGGGCTGGCCCGCTGGCCAAGCCCACCTAGGACTGGGCCCCAACTGGCCCAGTCCAGCCGAACCCCTTTGGCCCGGGTCAGACCTAACCCGGGCCTGACTCCGCCCGAACCCGGATTCTCATCCGGGTTCATCCCTGTCGCCCGGAAGAACAACCCAGAAACAGTTGTTCGGGTCTGAACAGACCAGGAACGAAAAACCAAAAAGAAATTGAAAGAAGGAAGCCTCACCTTGCCGATGAAGATAGAAGACTTGTAGAACACCCTCCGGCGAGCCTCACAGAGCTTCTAATCGGTGGAA